TCATCTACATGCGGCACGCCCCCACCACGACTGCCGCTGGTCTCGCGCCAGACGTCAATGAACTGCGACTGCTGCGACAGGCCTGCTGATCCTCTTCTATTTAATCTTCATCATCGACCGTGATATCGATTCATGCGCAGTCATGGCCGCCCATCTACCTCCAGCCACCGGTGCGGGGTCTCCGCAGAGCGTGGAATCGATCACTCGCATGGCTCAGGATTATGAGTATAACCCGTCTATACCTTTACGCTACTGGCTGCGAACTGCGTCTACACTCATGAGAGAGGTTGGTATACTCCTGCTTGGTTATGGTGGAGTGACCTGACGAGATTGGTGGCTAGGCTCGCATTTACGAACGCGAAAAGCACGAAGAACAGGCCTACCTTTTATTGTTTCGCCATGCTCAGCTAGTACTCGTCAATCTGGCCGAACACCCAGAGGCCAAGGATGAGAAAAACCGGAAAGCTTTGGTGGAAGCTGAAAAGGAGGTCAAACGGAACTTGAAGGTCCTGGAAGTCCTGAAACCCCGAATCAACAAACGCTACGAGCGCTATACTCAGTTGATGCGTGAACGGCAAGCTCGCGCACCAGCAGCCGCGAATAACACTCCCACTTCAATTCAACGCCCCCCTCAGGACCCCGCCCTTGCAGGAGTTGTGGAACCTCTGGAAGCAGGAGAGAACAAAGACCTGGCGGTGCAGCTGGCTCGGACGGAGCTTAGCCGACGAGCGACTGTCCGGAAGGCTATCCGACAAGCAGGCATAACACCTGAGGAGGAGCAGACTCGCCGTGCAGCTGGCGTGTGGGGAGACTGGGAACATGCCCTGCGCAAAGATGGATCCGAGGACGATGACTTGAGCCGGCGCATACAGAACGTGAGGATACAGATGGACGATCCGCGGGCGGATCACCGTCCACAGGTTGCTACTAAGCCCATGGCCCGACCATCTTCGGCAACCTCTTCGACCGGCGCATACAAGTATCCGAGCGTCCCTCGTCAGAAGCCGCTGGAAGTCCCGTCAACCGCAAAGGTCGAGCCTAAGATTGTTCTTCCGCCTAAAGCACCCGCACTACCTCCTAAAAAAGCTTCGTATGTACATGAACTGGCTGGCCTCGAAGGGCCTTCGCCTCCACCTCGTCCAGACAAGATCTCGTCCGCAGGGATCCCAGCTGAGCCTCCTGCGCTTCCTGGAAAGGTTCCAGCAACCGATGGACCAGCTGCAAGCCCGGATTTGGAGCCGTCCAGTTATACCTTCAAGCCCTCTGCTTATCTTGAGAACGGAACGCCTCTGCGGACATTGTTCCTGCCGCCTGATCTACGCAAGCACTTCATCTCACTGGTATCCCCGAATACGCAGCGCAATTTAGAGACATGCGGCATTCTGTGTGGCACATTAGTCTCCAACGCCTTGTTCGTGTCGAAGCTCCTCATCCCTGAACAGACTGCCACTTCGGACACATGCGAGACGGTGAACGAGTCAGCCATCTTCGACTATTGTGATTCGGAGGACCTGATGGTGCTCGGCTGGATCCATACGCACCCGACGCAGACGTGTTTTATGAGCTCGCGCGACCTGCACACGCATTGCGGATACCAGGTGATGCTGCCAGAGAGCATCGCGATCGTGTGCGCACCTAGTAAGACGCCAGACTGGGGAGTGTTCCGACTGACGGATCCGCCGGGGCTGAAGACGGTGCTCAACTGCACGCAGTCAGGACTCTTCCATCCCCACGGAGAAGCGAACATCTACACGGACGCGCTACGGCCGGGACATGTATTTGAAGCGAAGGGATTGGAATTTGAGACGGTGGATTTGCGTCCGAAGGGGTCTCAAATCTGACATTAGATCTTTGTTGCGAATTACTCTGAGCGTCGATAGCATATGATTACATGATAGGAGCTAATGAGGAATGATGCACTAGCCAATATTCAACTATCTAGTCTGTCAGCTAGACTACAATGAAAATAGCTAACTAACCAACGAACTACCATGTGACGATCCCTGCAAGCCTCATCCTTTCATGATCCACTCATACTCCCGCTTCTTCCCTCCACAACACACTACTATCAACATCATGTCAACTAATCCCCTCTACATTGGCACCCACATCTCCATCGGCCCCCACAAGCTGTACCTGCATCTGCACGGCCCACCCCGCACCACCCAGCCTCTCACTATCTTCCTCGCCGGCGCCGGCGATGTTTCTTCCAGCTACACCGCTGTAATCCGCTTATTGGCCCCATTCGCCCCGTGTCTGGTCTACGACCGCACCGGTCTCGGGCACAGCGATGCCCCAGACCAAGATACCAGCTACAAGCCCAGCGCGACTCTCGCCGCATCAGAACTGCATACCCTACTTACCAACGCAGATCTCCCACCACCATACGTCCTAGTGGGACACTCATACGGCGCTATAATCGCGAGGGAGTACCTCCACCTCTACTCAGATGATATCAGCGGTATGGTCCTCGTTGAGGGATCAACAGAACATCAGTATAAGCTATTCGAAGATAACCCCAACCTGGATAGTGATATCGCCGCCATACAGGGAGAGATGAATTTCGCTACGGTGACGGGGTTACGCGAGAATGCGAAGTTGTCTCGTGAGGAGTGGAGAGAACGAGCGAGGGATATTGCGCGGGGAATGGGGATTTGGGAGGCTGAGAGGGGGAATCTGTTGGGGGTTTGTAGGGAGTTGGAGGGGAAGAGGCAGTTACAGGTGCAGGGAGGAGGGTTAGGGGAGAGGCCATTGTCTGTGGTGGTGGGACGGGGATGGATGGATTATCAGGGGGTTTATGAGAGGGGAGTAGAGATGGGGAATGGGAGTGAAGAGCAGAGAGAGGCGGTTAGAAGGTTGCTGGGGAGATGTGAGGAGGTGGTGAAGGAGTGGCAGAGGGAGCAGTTGAGGTTGTCGAGGAGAGAGAGGTTGGTCGAGGTGGATTGTGGACATCAGGTGCATTTGGTGAGGCCGGATGTAGTGGTGGAGGAAGTGAGGTGGGTGTTGGAGATGATTGAGAGAAGTAGTAGTATGCTGTAGTATAGTAGTGTTGCAGATGTTGTGGTAGTGGTAAGATATGCTATGTCTATTACAGAGGCCACCGAGAAATTCTCAGCAGAGTATAACTGCAAGGCACAGAAGTGAGACAGTTGTGAGTCGTTGAGACTGTGTATAAGTGTCAAGATGACAGCAAATTGATGCTATTCCCACTGCAGGCCTCCCCCCACCATTCCCAATCAGGAAACCCCGGGCTTGGCGCCATCGCAATTCCAGCGAAAGCGACTTGCTTTTACTGCTTTCTTCTTCTCTTCTTCTCTTCTGCAACTCTCCACTGCCTTTCTGCTACGGCTTCTTCTCTCTTCCTATCATCTTCTCAACCTCATCTTCTTCCGGTACTCATTCGCTGCATCTCCCCTGCTGCGAGAACCCTTCAGATCCACCTCTCAGTCAATACGAGAGTTTACAATATCTTAACCTCATCCATCTCTCCTCTCCTCCATTCCCGGCACGGTGAATCCCACCGGCTCGTGCGACAGAGTGAGTCCACCATCATCTCAACACATCTCTTTGATTCTCCTTTCGGGCGCATCCACTTCACTTGTTTGTGGCTTGGTTCTTTTGCATTCCCTGCATCGCCGGTCAACTATATACTTGCTAGCGAATTTGCACGTGCACTGTCCCACACGTACAACTGTCCCGACTCCACCCCTGCTTGAGTTTGTTCCTGCGTACTGTCGCACATACTGTTACTCGCTATCGCAACACATGTCGCTTATGCCCACGATCGCATAAACATCATACTGATCGTCATAGGCGCTATAAGCTCTATATATTCGATATCTATCCCTTCACCTATACTCTCATCATATATCCATCATGTCTATGGACGCCAAAGAAATCGAGCTCCGGGCTAAGGCCATGACCAAGGCCGCCTCCTCCAACGAACCTCCCTCTACCATCATACCTCTGCTCAAGCAGCTGCAACAAGGGGTGAAAGCCACCGAGGACCTGCTGCGATCCACCCGTGTCGGTATCGCCGTCAACAAACTCAAACAACACAAATCTCCCGAAGTCGCCCGTCTCGCGAGCGAAATCGTCTCCAAGTGGCGCCACGAAGTGAACAAGCAAAAGGCCGGGGCCTCCCCCGGCGCCAGCCAACGGTCGAGCAGCTCTCCCCACCCGAAAGCCAACGGCACCCCCTCCGGCGGTGCGACTCCCTCCGATAAGGCCTCGAAGCTCTCGGTGCCTCCCGACAAGCGTACCTGGAAGGCCGATGGCGTGGACACCAACCAGACCGGCAACAGAATTCGCGATAGCTGCATCGGCTTGATGTACGATGGGCTGTGTCTCAACTCGGTTGAACCCCCACGCACAGTTCTGTCCAAGGCGTCGGCCGTCGAAGCGGCGGCCTTTAGCGACCTCGGACCGGAAACGAAGGAACAATACCGCACGAAGATCCGCAGTCTCTACCAGAACCTGAAGAACAAATCGAACCCATCACTGCGACTGCGGGTCCTCAACGGCGACGTGACGCCGGAGCGATTCGTCCGGATGTCGCACGACGAGCTCCGGTCGGAGGAACAGCAGGAACGCGACCGCAGAATTCAAAAGGAAAACATGGACAAGGCGATGGTGGCACAGGCGGAGCGGAGTATCAGTACGAGCTTGCAATGTGGCAAGTGTGGACAGCGCAAGGTGACATATACGGAAGCGCAGACGCGCAGTGCAGATGAACCGATGACATTGTTTTGTACGTGTATGAACTGCGGCAAGTCATGGAAGCAGTGACCAGTCTGTCAATTGATATGATTATACTCATTCATGTTTTACCCATCCATTCAATTTGTATTTCCCGATGGTGTTGGGTGTGATAGGCGAGGAGTTGGTTGTCAGGTTCAATCCAGTTTATGTCATGTGTCATAGATCATACGTCATTCAATACCTTTTTATACCACCACCTACCTACAAGTAAACAACCATCCCAACACATCTATCCCCCTCTCAACACCACCATACTACTCATGATGGCCACAACCATGCCCCCCAAACAAACCCTCAAACAAACCACCCATACCTTCCTAGATACTCTAACTCAATCCCCCCCACCCCCCCTCACCACCATCCTCTCCCAATTCACCTCCTCCCCCAACACCACCCCATTAATCCACGAAGCCGGCCTCCCTCACCTCGCCCCCTTCCTCGGCCGCGACTTCACCGGCCAAGACGGAGTGAGAACGTACTTCGAGACAATGGGCGCGGCGCTACGCTACGAGGGGATGCGATTCGAGGATGAGCAGGATTGGGTGGTTGACGAGGAGAAAGGGTGTGTTTGTGTCCGCGGGTGGGCGAGATTCATTGCCAAAGAGACAGAGATGGGTTGGGATGAGGGGTTCGTGTATAGGTTGAAGATTGTGCAGAATGGTGGTGATGGTGATGGGGAGTGGAAAGTGCAAGAGTATCGAGTGTGGGCTGATACGGGGGCGGCGTATTTGGCTCTTACGGGGGGGTTGGATGATCTTGTCAAGAAGGAGTGATATGTACATGCATACATACATACATACATAGGGATTGATTACAAGGGATTGTGAATTCAAGAGGATACAACATCCCAATCAATCCACGCCACATTCCCCTCCCTCCCATCCTCAAACAAAAACACCCTCTTGGGATCCCTATATTTCTCCTCCTCACTACTACTCAACAACACACTCACCTCACTCTCCTCCCTCCCCGTGATATTAAACCCCGGGCCATAGGCCCTATACTCCGCCATCAGCGTCTCATTCTTACTCCACCGATCCTCCCAGTTAATGTACCCCGATGGCTCGATGCTCCCGTCCTCGTATGTGTTCGCGAAGATGGATCGGTGCAGCGAGTTCCACGGCCTGCCTAGGGCGCAGGACCCCTGGATCTGCTCTGCGATGGAGGAGTTGGCGGCGTTGATGGTCGAGTCGTGGATGTACGCCCCGTAGTTGTTGCGGACGGTCGTGTTGGTGCCCTTCCAGGCGGTGATGCCGCCGCCGCAGGAGCGGAGGATGATTTGGGAGGATTGGATGAAGAGAGTACCGAAGCCGTACAGGAAGTCGGTTTGGCCGGCGAGGATGGATTTGTACATGTATGCGGAGCCGAGTTTGCCGATGTAGATCTGGATTTTCTTTGTTAGTATTTGAGGATGGGAGGGGAGGGTTAGGGGGGAGGGAGGGGGGATGTACTGTGTCTTGGTAAGAGTAGAAGCCGCAGTAGTAGAAGCCGCCGTTGGAGCGACTGAAGCTGATAGCGTGCGCCGGACCAGCAGAGTACGGCGCGTAGGTGTTGCGAAAGTCGATGTTGTATACGCGGAAGTTGGTATTCCCGAATGGGGTGTCCGCGGGCACTGGGTATCCTGTTGTGCCGGAGCCGGTGAGACTCGCGTCCAGGGTCGGGGCAACGACCATGACGCTGAACCAGACGTTGTCGATGTTGCCGCTGCTGTCGCTGTTGGCGCCGGCGAAGGTGAGGTTGACGGTGTTGCGGGCTGGGTCGGTTAGGGCTGCGCGGTCTGGTTGCTGGCCGAGGAGGGTGATGGGGCCGGCGCGGGTGATGTTGACTTGTTCATTGTAGGAGCCGGAGAGGAGGAGGATGGTTTGGGAGGAGTTGTCGTTGGGGAGGGCGTTGATGGCTGCTTGGAGGGTGGTGAAGTTGGAGATGTCAGGGTGGGTGTTGGTGTTGGAGACGATGAGAGTGCCCGGGGGGCATTGGAGGGTTGTTTGGCATTTCTCGCGAGCGACGGTTGAGAGATGGTTTGAGGACGGAGAAGTTATGGCTGCTGAGGAGGCTAGGATGGCCTGGAGGGCCAGCACGAGGCCGTGGAGGAGCATTGCGTGGGATGTAGAAGCAATTGGCTTGCTGGTGTTTGGATTGAACCCTGTTCATCTTTGTGGCCGTTTTTATATGATCATCAGGGCAATCTGGGGGTGCGGGGATAGTCAAGCTTCTGCACGGTGTCAATTACCCCAGACTGGCATTCTATCATGGCATCACCGTATGATGCATGGGTTCCTTCTTCCCCAGACGGAGGCCGGAGAAATGTGGTGGCGCCGGAGAATTGCGTTCCACCTGTCGGGTTGAAGGATAGGGTTCAGTTGGACTGCAGTTGGTGGAGTGAACTTGCTCTGGGGTTAGATGCATTATTGGGATGATGTTGTCTCCATGTTGGTCGGGGGTATCTTCCAGAGTCAGTTAGTGAGTTGTTTGATGTGGTGGTGCTCCGCGGACAGTCATGGTGAGCCGATATCTCTGAGATAGGCTATGATGAAGCCGCACATCTGGTCAAGTGATGTTTAATCCCTCATTCATGCAGTTTGCTTGTTCGATAGAGCGGGGAGAAGTATCCTGCGTGGGCTATATCGCGGCTAAGCTTTTTGGAGCTGGTCAGAATTGTCTGTCATGGAGCTTAGTAGTGGACTTGAGCCGATGTAATGCCGACGACTTTTCTTCCGAGAGAAATGCTTGGTCTGCAAGTATGCTTAATCATGAATACAGCAGGTCGTATGCATTTTAAGCACGTAAGATGGGCTAATCCTTCACCAGAATTTGCCATCATACCGCAGCCTCTAGAGAGGTAAGATGAGCAATGTCGGAACAGGACAATACTCTCGTCTATAGTCGACTCGGAGCATGCTGACATTCTAGAAGTGCCAGCATTTCGTCAGTCGATACATAGCCAGTTTTCAGCCTTGTATCTGCATATGGCGACCATAGCTGTCTGCGATAGAAGTCATCAGTTAGTCGATGGCCACCCCATATAGGCCACGGTGAACTCGTGGAGCCGCTTGCTATCAGAACAAACAAGTATCACTGTTCAGTGACAGCTGCCATTATTGTTCCTAATAGCCAAGCACAAACTGATCGAGACTTCGAGTCAGTTTATGCTAGCGAGATACTTGTCCTATTGCGATGTCTAAGTCGCACAACTTGTCGTGTGTAGGGAAACACTAGATAGTTCCCAGCTTTGACGAAGGTTAATCTTATAGAGACCTATAGAGTCAAGTGTTACTCATGACTCCTGATCCGCGGAAGCAACAGCTACTCATCAGCTTAGTTTGACAGACGCATGTTCTCGAATCATGATTAACAACCTTAAAGGCATTAATTCAAGCGCATGATGGGACTTAGGCTTGTGGGTGGCTATTATGCCATGCCAGTTGGCGGATACAGAAATTTGCTGGGAAAAGCCATTCCCTAAGCTTGTTATAAGTACTCATGCATTGACTGAAGTGAAAGAAGTCATCCTCACACTATGCAAACGACATTCATTGTCGCTCAGAGCGCTAGCCTGAGGCACCCAAGTAAAAGCTGAATCACGACCCCCAAGCGAACATCACCAACTGGACAACCCCAACCTTAGCAACTAAGTAAAGCAGCAATGCACGCCCACCCTGCACAAGCACAATGCGCATCCCCAACTTACATACCTACGACCACCACCACCACACCACCAAAGCACAAGTAAAGCGCACAAACACCATCCGTGCATCACACTATCAACGCATCCATCCATCGGCAAATTACACCTCCCCATCGACACGAGGCCAATTTAGACCATCGTTATATACGAATCTACAACTACCTCGGCCTCTCGTATACGTATCCAACAAGCCAGCCGTCCAATTAGTCGACGACTGACTCGGCAGGTACAGGCCGACTGATAGGCACAATACGAGTCTCCTCTCGTCTCACCCGACTCAATAGCTCGGATCCACTCAAGCTCTCTCTCTCTCACGCGTATGTTCGGTGTCGAGGGCCGAATGCCTGTGAGGTGCAACGCAACGCAACTGGCTGTCTAGCTATCGGCCGGAGTCCGAACGGGCGCAGGTGAAACGGGAACCGAGAAGATGGTGAGTGAAGTGGTGCCCCTGACTCCAATTTACCGGGGTCCACTGCACCCAGAACTTGGTCCGATGGGTGGACCGTGGTGTAGGTCAGGTCAGGGCTGAGGTGGTTCGGTTTGGTTTGATTCGGCTAAGTGGTCGGCAGTGAGCGCACTTTGATTATTGATTTGGTAAGATTCCAAAGGTTCTGTGGTTGAAGAATGGAATTATGATGAAGTAGTTACAGTGGAAGATGTATTAATTGAACCCTTGATTGACTAAATTTACCACTATTAATGACATACATACATGTAAAAAGAAAAGAAATTGACTCTATCAGTAGAGACAAGGTAATAAGGAAAAAAAAGTCTATAATACGGGTAAAAAGGGTAGCCGGAATCCCAGCTCATGCATGTATGCGCAGCAAGTGATATCCAGGTCGGATGGTATTAGGGAGCGCAATCAAGCGTTTACTCATCCTCTTCGACCTCGGCGCGAGCACCCAGCATGTAGCGGCTCTTGCCGTGGGCGTCGACCTCGTGCTCGATGGCCAGCTTGGACAGGTGGCCAAGCAGGTTCTCGATCTGGGTGTCGGCGCGGGAGCGGGTCTTGCGACCAAGGTTGTCAAGGAAGGGGATGCTGGAAAGGAGGTAGTACACCACAGCGATGATGATGGTGACACCAATGGAGTAACCCCAGATGACAACGACGGTGACGATGTCGACATCACCGTTGATGGAGAAGTCGGCACGGTCAACGGGGTGGGTCTGGAGGTAGTCGCCGGAGAGCCAGCCGAAGACACAGAACAGGGTGGCGAGCACATCGACAATGAAGATGGCGCCAACCAGCTGCCAAGAGGGCCAGGTCTTACCACCACGGGTGACGAAGATGAGCCAGTTCTCGGTAAGGGCAACCTCAAGGAAGAGGATTTCCTGGGGAGAACCGAAGTTCTGGATGATACCACCGTTGGTGAGGAAGAGGGAGGCACGGATGATCCAGGTAGCGGCAGCCAGGAGGACACCGAGGATGACGGAGATCACCCAGATCTTAGGCAGCTGCCACTCGACGGGGCGCTGTTCGTAGTGAGCGTTGTCGTAAGCAATGGCGATGGTGGCCAAATCAGCAAACAGGGCGATGAAGACAATCAGATCGGCACGGATGGTCTCGTCAATGATGATCATGGAGGTGACAAGGTAGACCTCAAGGTGGAGACACAGAGCAATACGGTACTGAATGTAGGCCTTCATACGCTGGAAAATCTGACGGGCGAGCTTGATAGCATCGACGATGGTGGACAGACCGGGGGCAAGGAAGACAATATCGGCGGCAGCCTGGGCGGCCTCAGTGGAACCCTCGACAGCGATACCACAGTCAGCCTTCTTGAGAGAGGGAGCGTCGTTGACACCGTCACCAGTCATGGCAGTCAAGTGACCACGCTGCTGGAGCATCTCAACGACCTGGTACTTGTGCTCGGGGAAGACCTCAGCGAAACCGTCAGCCTTCTCAACGAGGTCGTGCTGAGCAGAGCCAGCAAGACCACCGTGGATCAGACGCTCAGAGTCGTAGACCTTGGTAGAGAGAGCAAGCATCTTGCAGGTTTCCTTGGCAATGGCAAGAGCATCACCAGTCAACATCTTGACGGACAGACCAAGGTGCTGGGCCTCAGCGATGGTGTGGGCGGTATCCTCACGAGGGGGGTCGAACATGGGGTACATGCCCAGCAGTTGCCAGGGCTCACCCTCCTTCTGGACGGCAACACCGAGGGAACGGAAACCACGACGAGCGAACTCAGCAGCCTTCTCACGGAACTTGTCGGCCTCCTCCTCAGAGCACTGGGACATGTTGAGGATGGCCTTGGGGGCACCCTTGGCGCAGACGTAGCGGACACCATCGCAGGTACAGATGGTAGTGATACGCTTGGAGACGGGGTCGAAGGGAGTGTACTTCTCGGTGACCCAGTTGCGGGCGAGGATCTCACGGGCCTTGGGGTAGCGACGGAGGGTCATGATGGTGACCTTGTCGATGGGGTCGAGGTTCTTGATGTTGTGGTTGGAGGCAATGGCAGCGACAGCCATCATCCAGTTAACATCGACACCCTCGTTGACGTAAGGCTCACGGATGGAGAGCTGGTTGGCAGTAAGGGTACCAGTCTTGTCAGAGCAGAGAATGTCGACACCAGCAAGGGACTCAATGGCAGTGAGCTTCTGGACGATAGCCTTCTGCTCAGCCAAGTAGGCAGCACCGACAGCGAGGGTGGTGGTAGTGACGACGGGAAGACCGACGGGGACACCAATGATCAGGAGAATCAGGGTGTAGTGGAGCAAGTTGCGGTCCTCGTTTTCGGGAGTAGCGATCTTGAGGTGACGGTAGAAACCACCGATCCAGGCAGCGAGAATCCAGAACATGACAAGGACGAGCAGGGTGGTACCGATGTTGTCCATGACAGCCTTGAAGTGACCCTGATCCTGGGCACCCTGGACGAGAGCAGCGGTCTTACCGACGAAAGAGTGGCGGGCGGTGGCAGTGACGACAGCGTAGGCCTTACCACGCTTGCAACCAGTGGTGTAGTAGCAAGTGTCAGCCATGTACTTGTCGACAGCGAGAGATTCACCAGTGATGGCGGACTGGTCAACGGCAACAAGGGAGACACCGGCACGGGCCTCAATGCCACCATCCTCGTCGTCCTCATCCTCCTTCTCCTTAAGGGTGTCGTCGCCAACGGTGGCGAGGTACTCCTTGTAGGTCTCGAAGTTCTCGGGCTTGTCGTAGTCACAGATCAGGCGAATATCAGCGGGAACGACGGTACCTTCCTCGACGACGATCTATAGAAAAGTGGGTTAGAAAGTGCTGACAGATTTGACAAGACATTGGATAAACATACAATATCACCAGTAACCAATTCACGGGCAAGGATTTCCTGTTCCTGACCATCACGGATAACGATGGCCTTCATAGCAATATCACCCTTGAGGGAAGCGACAACGTCGGCAGCCTGCTTCTCCTGGTACCAACCGACAACAGCGTTGAGCATAAGAATACCAATGATGACACCGAAATCGATCCAGTCACGAAGACCAGCAGCAAGGAGGACAGCCAATTCCATAACTATAGCACTTTTAGTATCCCAGCCATGTCCTGTCAGAGTTGATTGCCTTACCATAAAGAATAGGACCACGGAAGTAACCAATGAACTGAACGAAGAAGTTGGTCTTCTCGGTGGTCAGCTCGTTCCAGCCGGTACGCTTGCGACGAGGCTCGATGTCGCTGGAGCGCAGACCGGAGCGCATGTCGGTCTCGAGCCAGTCATCGGGGCAGACGAAGCCTTCCTCCACACCATCACTCTTCTTGCCGAAGAGGGAGAAACCCTTCTTCTTCTTGCCGGCACTCACGCCACCGGCACTAGCAGTCGAACCGCGGCGCTTGTCGGGAGCGGTCGAGATGTAACGGTTCAATGCGGCATACTCGTCGAGACCAGCACCATCATCAAGTTGAGGGGCGCGAGAATGGTCACCATTCTCCACGTCAGGAGCATAGGAAATCCTCCGCTCCGCCATTGTTGCTACGGCTCACACAGCCTTCGAACCCAACGATATGAGCAGACGCAAACAAAAAATGACGGGAATGGCAAGAGTCGGATAGTCCTATGAAGAAGAGAAGAAGAAGAGAGGGGAGCGAAGGGAGGGAATGTACTCTTTAATATTTGGGGGTGGGCAGCCTTCAATTGCACGGGACCAGACAAACACGTCTGTCTTCTCTAAGCTCCAACGGGCGACCTTCCCTTTGCGTAAGCCCACTTTTTTTTTTTTTTTTTTCGCCTTCCTCCATTTTATTATTTTTGATTTTCCGATTTTCCGTTTTTCTTTTTTCTCTCATTTTCTTTTTTACTACATTTAATTTTCTCCAACTCGGTCTAGTCTTGGCCGGGAGCAGCAGTAGCCACTTGATCGAAAGTTCGCTGTCCCTGGTAAGGTAAGGTTGTGACTGGGACCCGCTTTTTGCCTCCCACGCACACACATTTTTCTGCTTAACCCGACGCATCGCTAGTGCCGAGTGAATTTCAGATGATTATTTATTTTTTGTTTTTCATTTTCCCGCTTCCATTACCTTGTCTGGGTTGCCCAGCCCAGTTTGCCAAGTGGATCCCACCTCCCGGATCGAGCCTAGTCTGGGCCGTGGAAAAACTCTGACTATACCCAGACGGTCACCCAATGATACGGCATCTTACGCCGTTCGCCTTTACCAGTCTCGCTGTCTCGATCTCTTACTGAATGGCTTCTTGTTGCTTTGCTCCATGACCGGCAGCGCTGTGCCGAGTTCGCCCCCCCTCTCCCCTCCCTCCTCCACTCTCGCTCGTTCCCCTACCGTAAATCCTGGGGAGAACAAGAAGGATGAGGACTCCCCGTACGCACCCGATACACTGGTCGGGAGGAGCTTGTCTCTATTTCCTCGGAGCTCACTATGGACCTGAGGTATGCTACTGGTAAGATACGGGTACGAGAGCCGACAGAGGACGGCTCTGTCGGCCTTTCGGCCAGCCCAGGGCGCTCTCTTTTTCCACTTGGGAAAAGAATTCCTTACCGTACGGACAGTACCGTGTGAATGGCCTTTTTGCCGCGTGCGGGTGGTGGCCCTCGTTAATTTTCCTGATCCTTTCCCTACTCTCGCTCTCTTTACTATGCGCGATTTTTCTCGTCGCCTTTTGACCCTCGCGATTGATGAGAGTAATAGTAATAACCCATCCCAATCATGCTATTTGCTTGTTGGTAAGTCAATCGGCATTGTCTGGCCGAGACCAACAGAAAAGAAACAAAAAAAAATTAAAAGGATAGATAGAAGGAGACAGAAAGAAAGGGACACATACATACATACATACATACATAACACACATACACACTATCAGACCCTCTATGTGTTAATCATTGGCATATTTCTTCTGTGTACTCCGTAGCACCTGGCGCACAGCGATGACATCGGACTTCATAGTTTCAGTAGTTCCCTTGCAGAAAAGAAATGATCGTTGCCCTTCTTCTTTTCTTCTGCCCACAAGAGGGATGAAAGGGACATGATCTGAGGAAAACCAAGGCCCGCTACAGACGAGACATACATACACTATCTAACTACTACCTAGTTAACGAACTAACTAACCTTACCAACTAAAGATATGAATCAGCGTCTCTCTTTTACTTGCTGCGAAATACTCCGATCGTGAAGCGCTGGAATGACTGGTTTCCCTGTGCCACAGAGTAGCAGAGCCAGGGCCGTCCTACCCGATCTTGGAACCACGAGCTGAGCCAAACGGGAACGCAAGGGGCGAGTTCCAAGAACTTGGATGATACCATTTCCGGCCATGCAGGGTCAAAACAATTCAGCTAGATAGATAGTCTACTTACTCCCTACGACTGACTACGTTTTCTTCGATTCTTTCGATTCTTTCTTCAGTCTACGGAATTAACTGACATCATCGTCGCATGTCGTAGGTGGCCGTGGTCGGTGCTGTCAGACGATCCGTTTTGAGTTCCCATTCCTGGTGCCGATTGACCGTGTCTCGGGGAGGGAGGGGACACACCAGGAAATGAAGAGTAAGTAAAATGATGATGAATTCATGGTGGTGATGATCGTGCCGACTCGGGAACTGACTCCATTGCCCGCCCGGTGCGCGGCCCCGTAGAAGGTTAGTAGGAAAGTAAGTGGAAATAGGTATCTAGGTCAGAATGAGCCGTACACACTACACACAAAGTAAACAGCTGCCTCCTTCCCTTATCCAAATCCAGAATTATGTCATCAGGATTATTTCTCCTGTGCGATCATTTGTTATCGGTGGGATGGATGGATGAATGGATGGGATGATTTGATTGCCATCCCATAATAATAATTATTATTACCATGCAATTACCATTGCGAATCGCACCCTTCGTTATCTTCCGCCTACGCACTTCCCGAGTTTGTCCCCACGCGCCTCGCTGTGGCCCCCCCTTCCTTCTCTTCCTCTGTCGCTCTCTGTCTCTTTCTGTCCCTCTCATATGAGCATCGCTATTATTATGATGGTGATTGTTTCTCACAATCTCGCACTAACGCCAACCTGGAGTTCGATCGTCCACCATTTTCCAACCATCCCATCCTGTGAGCGTGTGACGACGGGGGAGGGGAGTGGAAGGTGTGCTGCTCTCCACCCTCCTTATTTACGGCGCGCCAATCCCATGCATCTAGCCCTGATTGAGTTTCATCCGATTTCCTCTCGTGGGGAGCCATGGGCTCCATCGGAGAGCGTCATTTTTGTCTGACTGGTTGACGTCGGGATGCGACTCTCGGGACTCCAGTCTGGGATTATTTGCTCCCATTGTTGCTGGGGGACCCGTATCATTGGTCTGGTCTTGCTATCAAGTGAGTAAGATTACTTACCTTACTCTCGGCCCTGCTATCGTCGCATTATTGATTAGCCAAGTCTGGCAGCAGCAGTAACAGCAGTAATAATGAAATGAGCGCAGCAATATAGTTTCATGATACAACAATAGTAGCCATAATAGCCTCGTCTGGGCATTGGTCGTTTTCGTATAGACGGTGACTTCATCTGTGGCCAAGGCTGATCGCATACCATACCGAAACCCCAGTTCCAGATGGTCTCCGCAGATAACCCTGCTGCTGCTGCTGCTGCTTCTGCTGCCGCTGCCGCCGCCGCCCATTGTACAGAGCACGTTGCGACATTTTTCCAATCTTGCTCGATTCGATTTCGATTTCGATTTTCGATTTTCGATTTTTTCCTGGGCGTTTTTTCTACGACGCCATCTGGTTGACAGGTTGGCTTGGAAGGATGTGGGAAGCATGCATGCATGGCCACGACCCCAGCGAACCAAGATCTTTACATCGTTTTTCCTTCCAGATGGATGCAACTGGTTGCGTCTATCATGTTAACCTTACCAGCCAGCCCAATTTTCTCCCTCCTCCTCCTTCTACCGATTCTACCCGTGCTTCTTCTCCAGATAATGAGTAGTTAGCCCAGACCATCTATCTATTCGATACCGTCAAGCAAAGCAAATCAAACCACTAGCAGTAGCAGCAGTAAAAAAAGAAACGCGCTATTTTCCCATCAGCCCAACTCAGCCCAGACAAATCAGGATCTCTCCGGAATTCCCAGGAAAAGCAATCTATCTCCCTCAGGGATACACACGGAAGTCCCGAAAGGAAGGAAGAAAACTGCATAGTACTTGTGATTATTGGAAAATGGCTTGTCTGACAAGAGAAAAGAAAGAAAGATATGCATGCATGCACGGCATTAATCCACAACCACGTAGCCCGCGTCCGGGCGCTGCGCGCGCCGCCGCCGCAGCGCCCCAGATCGCCTGACAACGTACATACTAACTAAACCATCCATCCATCCATCGATGATTGTTCCAGTTGTTTTCCAGTGCCTTCTCGCTATTAGACTTTTTTTTTCCGTTTGATGATGGTGTCGTCGATAAACAGGGAATTCCCATGTTCGTGACTTCTTCCTCCGCACTTCATAAGCTTTCAGCGCGCATAAGGCTTGTCTTGGACTCAAGTCACTCCCAAGGTAATACTTAAATAAGTCTATTTTGTTTTTTGGCCCTTTCGGTAGTTTTTGCCAAGATGGTGATCCGTTGTCGGGTTACGGTATCCTTGTTCAATCTTGTTCTGCCTTTCTCCTCCTCCACATTCTTTTTCGGTGGTTGGGCTGGTTAGTTGCTGCTGTCCGAATCCGGATGATGGGGGTTATCTCCAAGCAACGCCGTAGATATTCTTAGTAGTGTAGACAGTACTTCGGCTTTCCGCTACGCTACGTGGGCGATTCAGAGTGATGCAACTGCGTATGGTATCTACGGAGTAACATTGGCGATAATTGTTCTTGGCTGGCTCTACTAGTTGTAGAATAGCATCTCTCGGAGTTGATGGGTTCGACTATTATCATTCTTTCGACGATCCCTACTTGAAATCTCCATAATATATATCCCATCAATTTGAGGCTCGAGATTGACCACTCTATTGCAATATACAGCCTTACCTCACCCCCCATCTATTATATACCATGTGAAGATCCGTGGGATGGATATACACAGTACAACGTAGTAATCTTCTAACTACTCGGACGATAGAAACTTATTTGCTTATTCCAAACAAACACAAAAAAAGCTTCGGAATGTGAAAGGGTTCAACTTTAAGCCACCCAACTTACTCCGTGCTGAGTAGTAGCAGTAGGATGATGGGACAGGAGGATTCACCGTCATCCCGACCGGGTCTCGATCGATACCGCCCGCACTCAGCTCCCACCAAAGTCCGAACGAAAGAAAGCCCTGAACCAAATAACGCATATCCATTCACCCATTCATCCAACCCCAGACGCGGGCGGGATAAAATCCGACGATGTTTGTGGAGGAGGAGGAGACATCCCATCCGCCCAACCATACCTGCAGAATACTACTTACTACACTTACTACTATTTCATCGGGCGGGCGGCCTCGCGCCCCATTCATCCATCACATCACATTATGGTTGCCGTACCATCCATCCATCCATCCCCAACCAACATGAGAGAGCTCTGAAAAGGCGACCGTACACATGCAAGAGAAAACCATGGCATGGCATGGGGGTTCAGTGTTTCCTTTCACGCGGATCGGATTCATCCTGTTTTCCCCTCCCTTTGCTCCGATGACCTGAACATCACACTACTATCTATCCATCTAACCACTACCTACTGTATCAAGGTAAGGTCTGACTGGGCTGAGCTGAACTGAACTGATCAGCCGCGGGGAAATAAAATAACACTCTACCTCCTACATTACCATAAAAATTAACTCAAAACCACATGAAAGTTTACTGTAGCATCATCACTCAACTAACCTACGGAGGGTAAATCCCGCTTCATCTACTGCATTCTCTCACCGTGACGCTCACCTTAGTTTACGCACTTACCCTGGGCCAAAGCAAAGCAAAGCAAGCAAGCCAACAGAAGCCCGAAGTTTAATCCCGGAGTTCGAAATGAATGAATGATGGAGAAGGATGAGTTATACCTAATTCAGATATGATATGATAGTTCCGGTGCTACTTACTTAGGTACACCGGGGTTTAAGTTAGTTACTTAGGTTGGTTAGTAAGGTTCAGTTACTAGCTAGGGAGAAGGAAGATGGGGGTGGGTGGTTGGTTTCGCCTCGCCCGACGGGGCCGATTGAGCGGTTTCCGCGGTTTGGGTGGTTAAGTTACTTAGATAGGTAGTGTCCTAGGAGGATGATTCTGGATGGATAGGGCATAGGTAGAGATTCCCTCACGGGGGAAGTTTCGCCGTCGGGTTATGTCCCTGACGAATGGGAAGGTACTCCATATTAATGTGGGTGAGTATGTAGTAGTAATGGTGATGATGATGATGATGATGCTATTCCCAATTATGCTACCATTGTTAGTAGTTACTACTATGGTCAAACTGGTAACTACCATTAGCTAACTCCTCAAGTAATGAGTTAGATAGCATACATACGCAATTAGTACCGTGTACAGCCCGTGCACCACCCAACCGCCCCCAAATCATCATCACCACCCGGATGCAGCAGTCCATGGTGATCAGAATTCCGGGGGATTCTCACCGTTGCCCGGTATTATTACAGGGATAAGGGGGGAACTTAGCTAGTAGTAGGCCTGAACTTGAACCTGGGGCAGCAAGGCAAGGCAAGGCAAGGCAAGACAGGGTCGGTATGCAAAACAAAAACACAACAACAACCCACGTCAGCCAAGACTCGAAAACCGAAACCACCACCCCAGCCATCTGGGAAATACCAAACTACAGGATCCTATCTATGCTACTTTACTATTTCTGGGGTTCAAAGGGGGGGAAGAGGCCAATAGAAGGTCAGCTGAGGGGGGAGGAGTTGTTAAGTTATTATGGAGAAAGAAAGAAAGGAAGTCATCCCACATCCCACACTTTCACCCCCTTATGTGTTGTCTGTCCCATTTTTACCCCATCCCCAATCCCATCTCATCCCATATTTTCCCCAAAGGCCAAGACCAGACCAGACCAGACCAAAGTCAGGGCCAAGGCCAACAGTAGTAAACT